TTTATTATTTCCTGATGTGCCTCCGAGTTCAGAACAAAAATGAAGCCTTTATCAGAAAAGAATAAATCGCAATTTTTAAAAAAATGAAAGAGTGCCGGCATCCGTACACCTTACTGGCCAATTGTAGAGCAGTACAAAGGTATTAGGCTGTCAGTAGAGACATCAGTATTCAGATTAGTGGAGTGGCGGGGAAAGTAGTCCATCCACTGAGAGCTGTCTTGGCAAAATCGGGGCCTAATTCCAGGACAACAGAAAGGTATCGGGATCAAGGCCAGTGACATCGTCCCAGATCATTGGTGAGAGGGTGAGGTCTATCACAGAGAGATACAGTCAAGCGAAAGTGAGTGAGTCTGACAAGGCTAGTTCCTCTCCTGAACAAATACAGTCTCCTGTGGACAAAGCCCCGCCTCCTGCAGCGTGATGTCATAGTCCAAGTGGGCCAGCTTCCTTCTGGGAAAGTTGGTGACGAGTTCGAAGCGTTCATTAGGGTAACCTTTGGACTGGGCGTGTCTTACCAGGGCCTTGACGAGAGAGAGAGTAATACACAGAAGCGAGACATTTAAAGTTACAATCAGTACTGTAAAAAATGACTAATTATGTTATTTAAAGTAAATAGTTTGGCATTTTGTGACATTCGCTTATTGGCTATGTTGCCTCGAGTTAGAGGACAGCATTTATGAAGCTGGAGCCAACAGCCGGTTAGCTTAGCATAACAACTGGAAAGAGCTAACATAGCTTTGACCAAAGTAAAAAAAAAAGAAAAAGAAAATCGACTTATCGGCATCGCTGAGGCTCAACAATTAACATGTTATATCTTGTTTCATCTGTACGAAAGTCAAAGCGTAAAGCAGTGACTTCCTGGAGTACGGCAAGTGGTGCAGTCCAAAAACAGTAAAGGTTTTAAGGTGTTCGACGTGAATTAAACAAACACAGGTATAATGTGTTAACTAGTGAGCTTTAGAGGTGCTGGTAGGCACATTTTTAAACCTTTGGACAGAACAAGATTAGCCGTTTGCTTCCAGTCTTTATGCTAAGCTAAGCGCATCTCCTCTTGGCTCCAGCTTCATACTTAATATACTAGTTCTATTGAATAGAAGTGTATTTCCAAAAACGTTACCCCTTTTTTTTTTTATAAATGGAGTTATTGTGTTGTGTTCTCACCAAAAGTTTTGCTTTAGAAGACAAGGAAATTTGTTCTCTCTGTCCGTCTGGGTAACGGAGCATCAACCTGGCTTTGGGACCTATGTTGAAAAAACAAACAAACATGGTGGTAAGTATCTTTCAAACTCCCGTATCCCTTCACCGTCATCACAACTGTTTTAGAATGACGCGTCGGCATACCATTGTCGTCAGGACAGTCCCCGTCACAGGTTTTGGTGGTGCTGGTCTTGGAAGGTCCGGCGCTTTCCGCCGCTGGGGGACAGTGGTTGCCTCCAGAATCTGCTTCAGGCTGAGGATGACGAGGACCGGCAGCCGAGGGCTCCAGGTGGTTCTTTTTGCTCTCCTCCTTCTTGTGACTGTGGTTGTTTTCTTTGTACGGAGACTTTCTATGGGAAGAAGTGGAACTATCGGGATGTAGACGCTGCTGAGCCGCATTGGCCGGAGGGAGCGGTGTGTGTTTGCTGGTAAAACTTTTCTCTTCGTGGGGTACTGGCACTTCGCTGTCTGAGCCGTCAACAGAGATGGGACCCTCGCTGTCGGAGAAAGGCTCTGCGTCGGATTCGTCGTCGGATCGGGGGGAATCGGGGGGCTCGGGGGCATTTGAGGACTCGTAGTGGGTCTCCTGTAGGGAGGCTCGGATCGCTGCCTCCAGCTGACTGTCTTCACTGGCATCGATCAAACTCTCCTAGAGCAGAAAACAGAGTGTGCAGCTGTAGAAAACAAATCAAAGAGCCGAGTAGAATAACACAAAAATGTGGTATAACTAACTTAATAAGAGACTGATGACCACGCTGATTGACGCATTCACCAGATAGTACAATTCACAAAAATCTCATCTTCTACATGTAATGCAGCCTTTTGGACAAGGAAGAGACAACAACGGAGCGCCATCATATACTACTATTATGTAATAACCGAAAGCCCAGATAATAACACAGTTACTAAACAAATCAGAGTTGTGACATTTCAACAGAGTGAAAGAGAGAGAGAGAGCGAGAGCGAGAGAGAGAGAGAGAGCGTTCTTATTAGAGCAGAAAAAATAAAGAGAATCAGAGGCGACACATGAGAAGAGAGACCCACAGAGCGAGCCCGTTTGGCAGGAGGTGCGTGACAGGACGGCCCATCTAGCTGCCCGTGCTCTGCCAGGAAGCCGGTCGTCTGCTCCAGGAACGACGCCACGTCCAGCTGATTCCACTCCACCATTTTTTGACCTGAAGAGAACATGTTTCGAACAGCACGGGTCAATAACAACATCAATTACAGAGTAGCTGCAAAAGCAGATGTGCGTGGCTGCACTGACGTAGAACTACTTTGCAGATGTAAACGGCGAGAGATCCGCTAACCGTACCGTATTGTACTGTTTATGTAGTTCTACAGATAATGCAGTTCATTTATCTTCATTATTTATTTAGTGAAAAACCTATTGTTGGCCTGGATTGATCCCATCACCTGATCACACAAGGATCTCCTGCTCAGTCACGCATCATTGTTCAAGGATGTTGTATAATGATGCTATTAATTATTCTAATGCTGTGCGTTGTCTGCAATATATAGTAAATAAAAATCCTTTGTAATATCTCCTCTTCAATTTGCAAGATGGGTCCAGTGTCCTTATCAATGAAAATATACATAAAGATGTTAAAAGCTAATTGAACTTAAACAGATGTCATGCAATTACATTTACCTACCCTCGTCTAGGAGACGTAGAGATGACATGATTGATTATTATAAGCTCGTGCACAGCATATATATAATATCACATCTACTTTTGGAATAACAGGTATAATTTAAGAGGGAGCTCCTTTAGTTCCAGCTCCTTCAGGTAACTATTTTAAAATAGATTACAATTCTGGTCAACAAAGATTATTTTGTACAAATAAAAAAAGCTGACTTTGTTTTTTATTTGTGAAACTATTGTTATTTAAAACAAGTATATTCTGGTATTATTTTGTTGTATTTGTTCGTTGGTTTTAGTTGGAGAGTCTGGTGTTGAGGATTTGTATCCTGGACCTGAATATTTTCAATAAAGGTCTTTATATATGGTGTCATTGAAGATCAGCGCTGTGGATAATGCTGAGACTAACTCACCTGTTCGGGGATCGAGGATGGAAATATAGGGGAACTTGTTCAGCTTATAGAACTGGATGTATCTTTGTCCCTCCTCACTATCATGATAAACCTGCAATGAAAGGAAATGTACAACAAGACAGACATGAACCTCTCACCAGTTATACTTGAATTGAGTTACATATATGTGAATATTTGGATTATGAGACAAAAAGGATTTTGTGTGCTGATTGCAAGGCTTTTTGTAGAAGAAGCAGAAGCAGAAGTGGGTACTACAACATTATCGTGTACTTGAAAAAGACGTTTGCACCGTTAATGCACTACTTTACGTTCCGCTTCTGTACTGACGATGGTCTCCATTTCTGCATCGCTGACTAAATTCCTTTCTCATATCATTAATGGACTTTCAACTTCACCTTCCCATCGAATGAGTTTAGCAGCCGGGCCCTCGCAAAGACCTCGACACGATGTTTTTGCAGGAACATGAAAGCACCCCAGAGCTCTGAAACTACATACCTGCCAGAATATAAAGTGTTCTCTGATGATGGTCTTCACTGCATCGTTACTCCAAACATCTCTGTTCAGGCACTGGCAGGCAAAGTCCTGAACATTTTGAATGTTGATCATAAGCCACTTGTTCTCCAGTTGTCCACAGTCTTTAGCCTGGAAGCACAAACAACACAGGAAATCAAGCTGGATTGTGACAATTAGTGAGAGAGGTAATTGTTAAATCGGCGAGTCTGGACGAAGACCAGAAGGTTAAGCTACAGCTTGATGGAGGACAAATGATAAAGTACACGTGTGTTTCTTTATGGAGAACAATCATTACCATCTCTACATTAGTGGTATGAGATCCTATGACCACATTACACCAGCTGATTTCACAGATACTGCGAGTGCACATTCAAACAGACAGGGAAAATGCACGCATCAAAAATGACTTCCACACAAAGCAGACCCGGTTTCCCACCGTTGATCTACACAGTCGACCATCTGAAATTTCACTGAAAAGTTCACACAAACCGAATAAAGACGTGTGGTTTAAAGTGTCGGGTGATCGACTCCTCACCGTCTCAAAGCTGCCTTTGTGCATGAGCTCAATGGGAGGACGGAAAAGGTCTGCCAGGGTGCTCAGTTTCTTATCCACTGTTCCACCGTTACGCAGCTCCTGTTCCTGGCGAACTAGGAAAAGAGAAACATTCACAGTCATTACAGGAAGTTCAGACACAGTGAAAAAGATTGAGAGAGAGAGAGAAAAGTGACAGACTTGTAACTACGCAATATTAAACTACACCACGTTCACTTCCGACCGCGTCCTTTAAGCTCGGAAAGACTGAATTTACTCACTTGTTTCTGTTTGGAAGTCTCGGAAACCATCAAATATAGATCGAGCAGGTCTTCTTCGCTTTGGCACTGCGCGTATAACAGACACATCAAAAGTCAGTTTGACTGAAACAGCACAGTCGTAAACAACAATTGAGCTTAACATCTGTTTGCATGAGGTCGAATAAGAAAAGTACAATACCTCCAAACAATGGTTCCGGTTCCACCAATATGTCCTGCTTCTGGGGAATGGGTGCTCGTACTTCACTGAGACACAAAGCAATATATACAGTATTATTTTAAGAAGCAAATCATCACGTGTCAGACAAGTTATAAAGAAGCACTCTCTTATTTTGTTAGCAACCCAAATCACAGCGGTGCTCTGAACCCCAAATTCTCCTCCCAGCCCACCGTTAACAACCACAAAAAACTCTAAACTAAGAGAAAAATATGGAGCACTATACAAAAAAAAACACAGAGATATTGTATCTTTAAGAAAGTCAAATGTAGCGAAAAAAACACTTTGTTTCACTTGTATCAGAAAGATGTTTGTTTGGATAAATATCAGCCTACTCTGAGGGGGGAGCTCTGCTGCTTGAAGCTGCTGAACTGGAGCTAGTGCTGGGCTCCTCTGCAATCCCGCCTCCGTCCAGGAACATGGTCACTGCCATCTCCAGGTTGTTGCTGCATGCTTCCAACATGTGTTGTCCTACGCTCTCCGTGGCCCCTTAAACGGTGTCGGACATAGGTTACAGTTTGCATGATGAACTAACTCAGGGTGACACTGTTTCTAAATGAGCACAAAGGCAGTACACACACATACACGTGCTGTGCTGCAATATCTTGTTACTTATCTGCACACATCTATAGCGATGATGCATCTTTAAATCTGTAAACATTAGAAAAGCAATGTGTATATAGCAATACAGTAAAACTGATGGCATACCACATAAAAAACATCGGCATATCGAATTAATCCAATCAAAGTATCATACTAATGTATACTTTATATGTTTACCTGTTTAATACACATCACATATTCATACTGCTAAACAGTTTTCGTTTGATTGCTTGCCTTTCTGAGGTCCACAAGTTTTCATTCATTCGACTCTTTTGTGACAGTGCACACATTTGAAACAGGCCTGTGAAACACCTCGTCAATGACAACTTCCTGTTGTTTAGGATTGTGTTTTTTTTTGTCAAAACTACGTCCTCCTTTAGTGTTAATGGCAAATTAAGCTTTCCAACAATGGGGTCCTGTGAAATGCAACAACAGTGTAACTTCCTAAAAAGCCAGTGATGCTGTTCACTGTGATGGATAACAAAGCAGGTCTTTGCACGTTGACAGCAACACTGTACTGATATGAATGAAAGCGAAAGGACTGCCTGAAAGTTAACGTCGGAAAATAAATGCATCCGGTGTTAACAAAGGCTTTGGTATGCTTTGGGAAATAGTAGGCAGTGATGTAGCTTAAGCATGGGCTACGTTATTAGTAGGCTACGAACAAGCTGCTAAAACACCACAATTGTGATTAAACCACTTAAGATCACGAATTAACATAATGAATAAAACTATGGAAATACTCTGCATGTGAGAAACCACTTGATCCGAGCGTTAACTTTAGTCTTTTATTAAGTGAACAGCACCGTTTGGCTACGCTGATCTTTCCGTGTCCACTGCGCATGTCCGTTTTACTTTCCAGGTCTGAGCAGCAGCAGCAGCCCCCGAACTGAGTATGCTCTCTTTTAAATAACTTAGAAATAAAACACAGTCGATCGCGTCAAAAGCACACATAAACTACTGACAACCTCTGAAGCAGTGGTCGGAGACTGACAGTGAGCGCGTGCGAGCGTGGTTAGCGTCACAGTCAGAGGGAAGAGTAACTCTACGTAAAGCCTGGCTGATGATGAAGAAGGGAAATGTTGCACAGCCGACGTCCATTCCACATTATCAAACAACATGCAATGGAAAAAGGAGCAGAAAATCAGCTCGAGACGAGCAAGATAGTGTCTGTTACGAGCACCACAAAGAAAATAGGTTTTTTTTAAGTGGTTGTGACAGATCACATTCAAAGCGGATGGTCTTACGGTCCTTTTCGGAGCATTTCACTTGAGTTTAGCAGATAACTGGCTGTGCTTTTCCCCCCTCTGCAAAGCATTGACAGCGTAGGGGCCAGGGGAAGACTTAACGTCCGTTTTTCAAACCACGCACTCATTTCCTGGTCTGTTGGACAATGGAGCTATTCCAGTTGGATAACCAAAACCTACTTAATAAATCAAACGTTCAATAAAATGTTATTTTTACCTGTTATTGCTGTGAATTGTTGTATTAACCCATTCACCTCCGGAGCTGAGGTGTCTCCGAGCGCCGCCATCTTACCGCCACAAACAACAACATAAATGTCGCGCATGCGCTACGCAGTCCTTGATGCCTGCCTGGCGCGGCGCGAGCCCCATACGTCACCAAAAGATTCTTCTGCATTGTGGGTTATGTAGTCCGGTAAACATAAATTGCATTTTACTGTCTTAATTATTTAAAATACAAAATCAGGGTAATTCATAGATTTTTATGCATTACCCTGATGGTTCCCTTAAGTTTTTGTAATCTCTTAAAAAAAGTGTTTTTTCTTATATTTCAAATATTATACCTCGAAAATTAAAACTACATAGACTTTCTCTTTAAGTCGTGTAATTTTATTATTTGCATAATACATTCAGTTTGAAAACAGCATGAACCAAGTCCAGAAACTGAAGACTCAGTTCTAACAACAATCAGCTACTAGCAATTAGAATAATTGCTCATTCAGTAACCAATCAAGGTCAAGTTGTCTTAATCACTCTTCTCAAATAAAGCTGCTGTACTGCCTGCCATTTACAAGAAAAAATTAATCTCACTTTACAAAGGGAAGGTGATGATGGAACTGACTTTCTAAATCATGAGATGTCCAAATTATATTCAAAACACTAAGTGACACTTCCAATCCCACTGGCCACTAAACAATTTAATTTATGATCATAACTTCAAATCCTTTGAAAGAGAGCACATTGTAAAGACACCTACAATACAAACCAGCATACTACGCTGTTATGTTCCTGCCTACAAAGGGAGATACAATATTAACTCAGCCCAATTGAACAGTTTGAAGATGCACTTTAGACTCGGATGAAAGGAATCAGATGATAATGGTCAGTATCTTATGCTGCACAGAAAGCACTTAGTTTGCCGTGTAAACCCAGCAATGCGTAGTAATCTGATGTGTCCAAATGTGACCTTTTAGTCCCGAGGTGGGGAATTATTCTCATATCAAAGATACATCACCTGTTCATTGTAACCTGGGAGTAAATCAAGTGCACTCGAGCAATATATACACGGGACCATAAGGATAAGTCCCTCCGTTCTGGTTCAAGGTGTTCACCTCAGTGCCTGATCCAAGGAATCCCATGGCAACATAAATATACACGACTATCTACTCTTAAGCTGTACTGAAGGCCAAATAAGAATAGAATATGTACTTTAAATATCTGAAAACTTTAAACCACAAAATGTATTTAAAAAAAAAATGAACAGCAAGACGTAATTTATCTTACATCAGTTAACACATATGAGACCAGTCCTGCCAAGTAAATTCACTTAAAAAACAATCTACATTTTACTGATATCAGAACAGATATGAACAATTTCCCCACAGTCAAAAAAACAAGCTGATGTATTCAAGGTAAAAAACTGAACCATCTTTATGGACACATTAAATGATCTTTCTCATGAGCGGCGTTTTAACGCAGAGGTCACTCTTATTCATCAGAGAACGGGCTGTAAAATATGTGGACAAGGCATAGAGATCACGATTTGCCCTTCTTCAGTTTATTAAAAATGATTAATCATTTTGGATCTTTCTGTGGGAGTCAAGTTTGGCAATTCCTTCATTCTAAAGATTACAATATGTTACATTTTTTTTCTTAGGGACTTCCCATTCAATGTTCGTCTGCTCACTGTGTACCTTGTGAGAACAGTCTCATCCTGTCCAACCAAAAAGAATAAACTCTCAAAAAAAGATCCCTCAAATAGTAAGAATGCCACTCTTTCCTCTCATATGATAGCAGTGCAGCCTCAACAATGTAATAAACAAGACTCATATTGAGGAAATATGTCTCCATACTTCATCTCACATGCAAAACAATAGAAGAAAAATAAGTGCAGTGGAAAAAAAAAAAAAAGAAGAGGAAATGGACATGGTGTACATTTTGAAATCCTTCTCACAGTTTATACCCTGCTTAAGAAATAAATAAGCTTCCACCCAACAGCATAGATCAAGGTGTGAATGAGTGCATACATGTATGTTGAGTGAGTCGTGGGTGAGCGCAAATGTCAGAATGTGCGTTTGTGTACGGAGTGACTATATGAATCAGTGAGGCCAGTGTGTTTCAAAATGAAGTTTGTTTTGGAGGTAGGACACGCAGGGTGGTGAGGGAGAACACTGCGGAGCTGGCAGGTGGATTTTTACACTGCGGTTTAGAAGCGGATGAAGGTAGCGTCGATCTGGCGTACACTGGGCAGCGCCAGCATGATCTTTCGCCGGTACTGTGGATCCTTCTGTAAAGGGTTTCTTTCAAGGTAGACCGTCTCCAGAGTCTTGGCATTCTTCAACTCGTCGAGATCTGACCAGTTATCTATCTGATTATCGTTCATCTGGGGGGGGGAAATCCAAGGACAGCATAGTCAATAAGAGGACAGACTGAGTAATGGGAGCTCAAACACAAACTTTAAGCACTCTTGGAACATACAGTTCGGAGGTATTTGGTTTCAAAGTACACCTGGGTTTGTCGGTGCCCCTGGGCTCTTGTGGCAAAGCCTTGCTGATGCATTATGGGAAGTAGTAAAAGCTTTCAATGTCTGTAGCCAGAAGTTGCTGATGATGCATGCTCATGTAAGCAGCATTCAAAAAGGCAGATTGCTTTTGCCAGACGACGGCCCAGAGTGCTGTACAAACAGCGTTAAGAGTCGGTAAACAGGACCGTCAATAGGAAGCTGATGAATGAAAATAATTTCCCTTTCAAGATTTGAATAATTAAATCAATTTGTGAACACAGCTTTCATACTTCCCTTTGAAACCCTGTACTGTCAAATAGACAAGTTCTTCAACTAACCATGTGCTACTCCATTCTTTTAAAGTGCAATTTAATAAATATATCAATTGATTTATCTAGCAATTTCAAATTTGATTTATTCCTTGGATCTATTTTTTAAAAGTATGTTATTTAAAACTTTGTACTAACCACTTAAATATGAATGAATCAGTTGCATTTTACAAAGCAGGACAAGCACATATATATGATAAAGTAAATGACAGTTGAGCTCCAGGACTCTGCTACTGCATGCTGGCTCTTTGGCCTGACTCACTAAGACTCTTAATGCAACATGGTTATTTTATTAGTCTTTATTTATTTGATTATATTTCCTGCTATGTCAAGTCAACATGTCTGCTGTGAAAACATGTAGTGGTAAGGCTTGAGGGGTTCCATAATAAGGTAGCATAATAAAAGACCATCACGATTACATTCTAGTTTAACTTCACAAACTATCCGTACCCAGAACTCCTGCAGGTCTGTCAGATGGCTGATGTTTTCGATTTTCTTTACTCGATTGGCTGCGATGTCCAGGGTTGTAAGCTTTTTCTGTGAGGGAAAACAAACAGTGTTTGAATGTACGGTACATGTTTGCAGAGTCGGCAAACTACACGATGGGCAGCTTGGCACTCAGTCCTTTCAGAAATAAGCTTTGGAATTTCTTTAACTCACGTTGTTTTCCAGGCCCTCGATGACCTCAATGCCATTGTGGCTCAGATAGAGCTCTCTCAGGCTGACCAGATTCTGTAGACCCTCAATTTTTGTGATCCGGTTACTCTGCAAATGAAAGTACACGAAACGACTCACCAGTGTTTGCATTTACACATTTCCAATTGTATTCTTGTAACCACTCACACGAGCGTTGAAGAGAGTTTGTGAATACCTGAATGCTTAAAACCGTCAGGTTGTGTAAACCCTCCAGATTCTGAAGCGTAGTTATTTTGTTGGTGCCAAGAAACAAACTTTGCAAAGATGAAAGAGTATCCAGGTTCTCTATGACCTGTGAACATGACAAAATAGAAAGAGACACAAATAAACACGACATAATGATTTCATAGAAAATTCACAAACTTCCTTTGATGCATAATTTGAAAAAGACAATGTGTAGCATTGATTTCTCATTTCTCAGTGGCCAAGAGTCGCTTTGTGTCATACCCGGATGCGATTGGAGCCCAGCTCCAGCATTTCCAGGCCCGTGAGGTGTTCCAGGTTGGCAATGCTGCCAATTTTGTTGTGAAGTAGAAAAAGTTTCTTCAGCCGAGTCATTTGCTCCAAACCCTCCACCTTCCTCAGCATATTGAAGGACATGTCAAGCTGCCTGTGGATCAGTCAAACAGGTATGCTCATCAGAATTCAATTTTTTGTTCCAAGTCAGTCACATGAAACATATATTACAGTGGTTTTCCAGACTCCAACAATCTCTAGATATTAACTAGTGTGTGGAAATGAGATTTTCCATAAATATCTTAATATAAATAACATTCTATGGAATAGATGGAATCTCTATAATCTGCAGAAACAATAGAGACAAAGTCTTCTGTTTCCTTCAGACTTACTCGATCTCTGTGAGGTTGTGCAGGTTCTCCAGTTTGCGAATCTGATTGTCATAGAGATCTAGTTCCTGCAGCGAGCGCAGACTTTCAAGGTTTTCTATCTTCTTTATGAGATTCTGTCTTAAGGAGAGCGTCTGTACAAAAGAGACAGATGGGGAAAAAAACAGGTAAGTGCAGATACAATCATTAGCTGTATTTCACTACTTTATTTTAAGAAATGATTAATAAAGAAAAAAAGAACATGGTTGCAGCCTTGTCTGGCTAACTCCAGATTCTGCACACTATGCTGCTACCATTACATCATCACTCAGTGACAGTGGCACTTCATACTGAAGTTACTTACTTTAGCTTTCTGTAGCACCTCCAATCCTTCAATCTTTCCAATACGACAATGAACAAGATCAACATCCTAGAAAGAAAACAGACAGCTTAGGAAGACAAAATGTTTATAAAGTAATAGTAGTTAGGGGTAATTGTGTCATTTACATTCGAGTGTCGAGCCCACATATGGATTGACATACATTAGAGATATAGTTGCAGTGGTGAAACATTTGTCAGAAAAGATCATAATTTTTTTTGTTGCAATAAAAATAAATTTGCTTCCATTCTAAAGCTCTACAAATAAAATCTACCACAAAATGTTACCTCCCAAAAAGACAAATGAAGTCCCTTATAATCCCCCAACAAAATGGAGTCATTGAAGATGGACATTTTTACTGAAAAGCATTATAAGATGTACTTTGGGACAGTAGCTAGTGTTTAGAGTCCTCTCACCTCTTCCTCTGGGTCCAAAGTTATAGTGTCCATGTCAACAGGAGACTCTTCTTTACCTTTAATAAGAGCAAGGATAAATCAGTGAACTTATATAGTTGCATGAAGTCAGAGTATTCCTGAACATGATATAGACACAAAAGGCTTTTTTAAAGCAACAGAGAAGAATCATAGTTATGTAATGCAGTCACTACAGCTGCCTGACTTGTGTCCTGATTGTTTTTGTGGCTGTGCTGAGAAGATGTGATGCTTTACTTGTGGTAGCGGGCTGGTTGGGGTCCATGTTGCCATTGATGCTCTTCCTCTTGGTCTCATCATCACCAGACTCCTCGGACTCACCCCTTCGGTCCACTACAGTCAGCAGACAAAGAGAAGTGAAGCGTCACATTCACCATACATACAGACGCAGTGCTGTTGTATCGGGGACACATTTAGCTGATGCACAGACTGGGCCCAGCTCCTCATCGCCCACTGATGAGTCAGGTTGGGGGGGGGATGTCATGTGGAGCATCCAGCCTCTGTCTTACTGTCACAACCCATGGCTTTCAACTAAACCAGGCTTCTGCACTGCAAAAACACGTGTGCCAAACTGGGATTCCGCCATTAATTGGGTAGCTTTGATTGCTGTGGATGGGACCGCAGTTGCTGCAGTTTAGCTATAACTCGCAAGCTCGCTGTTAAGTTTAGCTCAATCCCATTAACACACAGGGTAAACAATGCTAACCATGTTAGCTAGTTAGCTGAGTGGACCACAACATGCAGGTTTACGAGCTAAATGTGGATGCATGTTGTACGAGCAGACAAGCTACGTCAAACATAAAATAGAGTGTGAGACCATTATATTTGACAACGCAGCTATGGAAACTGAAATGAGATGACGAGCAGGACAGTTGTAAGTTAACGTCAGCTAACGGAGGTTGTTGTTTGCCTGTTAGCTAGCAAGCCTGTGATGAAGGTGTGGCTAGTAACAAGGGGAAAACACGCCGGATGTGTTCGTATAAAAACAGATACATTTATCAAAATGAATGCCGGTTGACTAAGCTAATTCAATCATGGCACGGCTTAATCTTTACATATTTACTGACCTTCCATCTCCTGAAGCTCTCCAACAGACCTGGAAGCCATGTTTCTTGTAAACAGTCCTGACAACTGCTCAGCCAATCCGGTGGAGGCTCATGCTGCGGTCAGACACTAGATGACGCTGGTGCCGCACATAAATGAAAACATGTTGAGTACATAATATACCGTGAATTCACGAAAACAACACCATCAGCAGTGGTGTAAAATAAATAAATAGACATACCTTTCTTCAAATTCTGTACTTATATATAAATCAGAGGCACATAAATTCAGAGAGAAATGCACTTTTGACTACATTAGATTTATCTGACAGCTTTAATTACTAGTTGCATTGAAGATAAGCATTTATATTCAAAACATGTGATCAATAACTAGAATATCATCCATTGTTATTTATTAAACTGTGCAACAGTATATGAAGCTCAACCTAGAGCTATAATGCTGTAAACTTGTTAATGTCCAATAATATATTATATACAGCGATGTTACTGTGCAATGGTCTATTCTGCATGATGAGTCATTCTACTTTTCGTTATTTTACTGATAAGACTTTTGTATATCATCCCTCTATGGCATGACCTTTTATTTTAGGGGATAAAAACCCATGCACCCCCCAGCCAGATTTTGGTTTGTTGCCTCAGGGCAACAATGTGCCACAAGGGCACTGAAACACTAAGGAGTTTTGTAGTACATGTGATAAGAGGAATAAGGAAAACAAGCAATATATGCATTTCGAAAAAGTATTATTTTGACATTAACATACATACCAACATCCAAATGTGGTGTGTGTGTGTGTGTGTGTGTGTGTGTGTGTGTCAGTGTGTGTAATAATTATGACCATAGTCATTGTTTTAACTTTACTATCTACTGATAATCACAGAAATGGACACAGGAGCATGTTATGAGCGTAACGGACATGATCAGGCAGTTAGGGTTGTTTGAGAGACAATTAGGAGGTCAGAGGTCAGTCAGCAGAGTAACATGTGCGTGCGTGTGTGTGTGTGTCACATCT